TGAAGAATAACAATGAAGCTGCAAGCTACTGCATAACATGGATGAACCCTGAGGACATTATGCTGAGTGAAATAAGTCAGTCACAAGAAGAGAAAAATTGTATAGGACCATTATTGTAAAAGATTAAGAAAAAGTACCCACACTAAAAGGGGGAAAAAATTATTTGATGGTTACTGAGGTGTAGAATCTCCACTGAGTAGTATCCAATTTGTCTGGGCGGGACTGATGAAAGGAGATGGGAATATGATTCTTGTGGTACAACAGTGAATAACTGCTATCAGGACTGACTGTGAGGGTTGGAAATGTAAAGGTAGACGTTTTGTAGCAAGAGGAGTGGAGTGGTTGACTTTGCAGTCCAGGAGCAGAGGGCGCTCGGACCATCAAGGGAGAAGAGCGGAGTGCGGGACCCTACCTAGAAAAACAGTGATGCCAGAGATGGAGGCAGAGATGATGACGTGGAGAGATGGAGCAGCTGGGGCCTCTAGACGTAGAGAGGGAGAGGGGTTGTGTGCTGAAGACCAAGGGGCTGGCTTGCGGGGTATACCCTTTGGTTGGCTGATGGTGCATGGAGGGGATTGGAACCCTGGCAATGAAACGATATATGACAGGATGAATGTAAAGCTAATATTCTCCTATGTAAACTATCACATAAGTCACAATTCAAGAAGTTAAAAGGACTCCAAACAAGATAAACCTCAAAAGAAAATCACCAAGACATATTATAATCAAACTTTTCAATAGCAAAGACATGGAAAAAATCCTGAGAGCAACTCTGGAAAAACTAAAAGTTATCTACAGAGGAGAACTAATAAGACTACTCTCGGATTTCTCAGTAAAAACTATGAAAGATGACAATGGGATGAAATATATAAAGTCTGAAAGATAAACTGTCAACAAGAACCATACACTAATAAAAGTGTCCATCAAACATGGTGAAATTAGAACATTGCCAAATAAACAGACACTAAAAGAATTCACATAATCTAGATCATCCTTACAAAAAATACTAAAAGGAGTTCTCTGTACAGAGAACCAACCGCAGACCACAACCTTGTACAACATGGCAACTCAACCCAGATATGTTGTTGTGAGATGCCGTCAAGTCAGTTCTGACTCACAGCAACCAAAGTACAGCTAACCTACATGACGGAAAATAGGGAACCAGAGACAGATACCAGTTTGTAACATTGACAACAACAAAAAAAATCGCACAAAGGGCAAAATGTACTTACAGAACTTCCAAATGAAGAGGAAACCAAGTACATTTCAAGAAAACAATAGAAACAAATCTAATTGTAACTTCCTAACCCTAGTCCAATCCCTACCCCTACACGATCCCTAGTCTTAAACATACATTCCCTGTTAGACACACACAAAAAAACAAATTGCCAGGGCTTTCTTTGGAGGCACGTCTTGGTCGATATGAACACACCCTCAACCATTCCATTAGTAGCTAAGCCCTCAACCATCGGTGCCATCCAAGAGCATCCATTTGCAATCAGTGATCTTGGACTCTGACTGTCATTAAGTTCAGACCTGCACTATCTATTAAAAAATGGTAATCTGTGAAGGTCAAGGTCTAAACTGAAAACCAAACCCACTGTTGCTGAGCTGATTCTGACTCATAGACAGTGAGTATACAGGACAGGATAGTAGAACCGCTCCATACGATTCCCAAGGCTGCAAATCTTTCTCTCATGTGGTTGGTGGGTTCAAACTGACCACTGTACCACCAGGGCTCCTTGCCTAGATGTTCATTTTCAAGGAACTCAAGTCAGGAGATTAAAGGGCCGCAGGATTATTGGTACTTCAGAGACAGGTCAAAACTTTGTACACTAAACAGTGAATGAAGATTGCGTAGCACTCCCCAAGACATCTGTTGCACAGGAGAAATGAGGAACTAGATTTGCTACTATGACAGCAAGTCCTGATTTCGAACTGGGAGAGCCTAGTATCAAGAAAAAGAAGGAAGAGGAGTATAGCGTAGTTCAGGGCGGGTTCATGTGCCTCCAGAAGCTGGGGTAGCACCCGATACCTGATCCCAGGCAGAGTGGGGTGGCACAGGAGTGGATGTCATTGGCCGCTGGGTTGTTGAGAACAAAGACTGGACATGCCCCCAGCTACCAGAAGGGCATGGTACACAGGAGAATCACGCCCCTCTTGCACCCAGTCTCCATCTCTGTCCTGGGCCGGAAATCTTGTATTTGTTTAGCCTACAGCGTGTCAGACACAACCTACTGCTTTACTACATTCCATCTCCTCTGCAACCCTCTGGTCATAGTATTCCCATTCACCATGAGAAAACTAACTTCAAAGAGGTTAAGTGACCTGCCCAGTGCCACCCAGGATGTGGGAGAGCCAGGATACAAATCTAGGAGGGGAACTTCAGGACACATGCTTCCTTAACTTCACCACACGGCCTCTCAGGAAGGCAGCTAAATTTCAGACACATAAATTAAAGCCGTTATGACATCTATTTTTAAAGTTACAACAGTCCTGCACATCCGTAATTCAATGATTTACTAAGCACCTACTACTTCTGTAGACGACCTGTGCAGAATGGTTCTCAGAATGAAAGAATGGGAGGGAGAAAATGCTCACCTTTATGATCAGAAGTTTGGTGGATGACTTGAGTTGTGAATGGCTACTGGTCACAAACATTTTCATCAATAAATAAAACACGGATCTTTCTCCCCCAACAATTTCTGCATCTGGGCCTTCCTAGAGTTTAAACAGTATCTGTTATTGTTGCTAAGTGCCATGGAGTCGGTTCTGACTCACAGTGACCCTGTATAGGGTTTCTGAGGCTTTTACATCTTCAAGGGAGCAAAAAGCCTCATCTGTCCCCTCGGAGCACCTGGTGGACTCGAACCACAGACCTTGTGGATCTCAGTGCAGTGCGTATGGAGATACCATGTTCCATAGCGGTTATGACAGTACAAAAATAAGGGAGTTATCACTTGCTGGACACACACGTACTGTAGACTGGCAGGCAGCCAGGCCCTTTTCATCATCTCATTTTAATTTGCATCTTAGCAAGATTGTTACTATCTTATAAATGAGGCAACTCAGAATAAGGTAACTCACCCAAACCCCAAGCAATAGTAGTTGTAGCAAAAACGGAGAGAGTGATGATAGTCAGTCCGTGTAGCTTTTACCACTACCTGTACTGACTCACTTACTCCCCACAGCTCTCCTGTTAGGTGAATACAACAGTACTCCCATCTTATAGCTGTACAAACTGATTTCTTAAAAGTAGGTCATCAGGCCTTTCTTTCAAGGTGGACTCAAAGCTTCAATCTTGCAGTCAACAGCTGAGTGTGTAGCTATTCACATTATCCAAGGATTTGTTATTGCTATTGCTAAGTCTTGTCAAGTTGGCAAGCTAAGCATCTTATATTTACAAAACCAAAAAGATCTGCAGGCCCCTTGGTTTATGAGTCTGGGCCTGGCCACTGTTCCTAAGCTTTCCTTTCATCTCAACAATGTCAGGGTCTGACACAGTTAGAAATGGCCAGGCAAAAAAGCCCAGCAGGTTAGCTGGGTTAACAAAAGACTGCAGATCTCTGTTTCCCACTTACCTGTGCCTTCAGCCATGAGAACTTGTTAGCAGGCAGCTCCAGAGCCACCTTCAGAATGTGGTGTTGCAAAATGGGAGGGACCTCATCACAAAGGCCCTGCTCCGAGATGACGCCTTAGGGTTAGAAAAAGAAAAGCAGAGGAGGTCACAAGAATGCAGATGCCCCAGTCACAGTTGTTGCTGATCAAAAGGACCGGGTAAAGAACTACACAACTGAAAATCAAAAGGTGGGATCCGGGGTTTGTGTTTCCACATCCTGTAAGTCACCTGCACATGGCTGTGCCCACTCCTCTGTTCATGCATACCTCACCTGACAGATTTTCCTGTCCCAAAACCAACTTCCATCAAGTCCCTTCCAACTCATGCACCCCCACGTGCACAGAGCAGATCTACTTCATTGGTTTTCGAAGGTTGGGACCTTTCAGAAGGAGATTACCATGTATTTCTTTCAAGGTGCCTCTGGATAAGTTCAAACCTCCAATCTTTCAGTTAGTTCAGTGCTTAATTGTGTGCCACCCAAGCACTCCCTCCCACTCAAGGTCTACCTAAATCCTTTCATGTTGCTGTTGTTAAACACCACCAAGTCGGCCTGATTCATAGCAACCCCATGTAGGTTTTCCAAGGAGTGGCTGATGAATTTGAACTGCTAACCTTGTGGTTTGCAGGTCAGTGCTTATCCTACCGGAGTTCACAGAAAGCTCAAATTCCACTTGGCAGTGAAGCCCTGCCTTGCCCTCAGCCCACACTGACCTCTTCCTACAGCTCAACTCACGCATGCCAACTCTGCTGCACTCCAAATGCAGCCTCTCCTCTCATCAGTATCATTCCCACTATGCCTTTCTCCCAGACTGGAGCATCTGTGGACAGAGGCCAGGGGCCCCAGCTTCAGCTGAGGCCTTACCCTCTAATCTGGCCTCGAGAGTTCTCCTTTGCTTGTGAAGGACACAGCTAAGAAGTACAAATTGGCCACGTTCTAATAAACAACGTATTCTCACAGCAAAGAGAATCTCTTCACCTTCAAACAATTTAAAAGCTAATTACAGCTTTTGGGAATGACTGTTTCCAACAATATGAATAAACCCCAAGACAGGTATTTTTGAAGCATTCTTAAGTAAGCCCAATTATACAGTCATCATTATTACACAAAATTCACCATCAAAGAAGCACAGCAAGACAAGTTCAGTTTTACTCTGACACAAAGTGGCTTGAGCCCACCTCTCTGGCAAGAAGATAAGAAGTGCCTCTGTGGAACAGGACAGTTCATTATTTCGTTGCCATCCCACTCCTACATCCATGATGAGCAGTTAATATTTGTTGTTGTTGTTGTTAAGTGCCATTGAATTGGTTCCGACCCATAGTGACCCTATGCAGGGTTTCTGAGGAGCAGCTGGTGAGCTTGAACCACCAACCTTGTGGTTCAAACCGACTTTTGCAGCCCGTTGCATTAACCCACAGTGCTACACATTGGAGAACTGACTTGTGGATTGTCCATAACAGGTAACTCATGCCAGGCTGGCTGACTTTGGCTTCTCCACTTTGGTTGCTGCCAAGTGCATTCCTGATAATTACTAACAAAGACCAGCAGCTATCCTAACAATGCTTCTAGGTGCTGATGAGCCCACTGGGAGTCATGGCAACCCCACTTGTGTCAGAGTCCTGACCTTTCAGCAGCACACGGCACAGACCTGTCTACTCAAGTGCCTCTGGGTTGGTTCCAACCTCCAGAGTTTTGATTTTTAACCGTTTGTGTTACCCAAGTACTCCATTCTTAAAAGCACTGGCAAATTAAAATAAGCAGGCAGATGGAGCATGCAGACAGCAAAACTGCCTCCTGGTCCACGGCTCCAGACTTCTGCACTGCTTTGTCAGCAACCTCCAACCTTACCGACAGACATGACACACACCTTTCAGGAGCTTGCTGAAGTCAAAGTTGTACTGCATGACCACATGGGGGACCACTTTCTGGTACAGGCATATGACCTGAAGCAGAACAGCTTTCAAATGAATGGTTTCTGCATCATCTGCACCAACACAAAACAGCGGCAATTAAGATAAAACTTGCTCTACCAAGCAGTCAATCCACACAAAAGACCACATCACAGTCAACTGCAGGCTGCAATGGGGAAAGTTTCTAAATCCTGACCCCTGGCTGGATCGGTAATGAACTGCAGATAGACCCAACTAGATGGAGCAGTCAATGTGTTTTTTTTAAAAACAGGTATTTTCAACTTCCTGGGTTGAAATCTCCAACTCAGTGCTGTGACTTTGTCTTTCTTTGCACAACAGTGGGGCAGTAATAGCACCTACCCTCACAGGGCTGGCACAGGATTAGCAGATGTGACATACGTACGGCACAATGCCTACAACTTGGCCAGTAAGATAGTCCGCCTTGTCAATATCCGCTGTCACTATATTTTACTATGAAGCGGACTAAGTAGCTCACCTGCAAACTGAAAGAAGGGCCCTGCATTGGAAGCCCAGTGTGCAGGGTTTATGTCATTTGAGTCCTTAAAGACACACTGCTTCTAAGATAACTTAGAATTCTATGCTAATTCTTCTCCCAAGGGAAGAAAGACCCCAAGCTAAAAAACCAAAAACTGGCATAGGATGCCTTCCCAGTCAGAGAAGCTTTCAAACCAGGAGTTGTGTAGAGCTGCCTGTCAGCCCCATCTCTCCAACATGCAGCCTGGGCCCCACAAAGCCCTCACCACTCTGGGGAGCCACATCAGCAGTTGAAGTCCCTTGACCTTTCTTCTTTCCTTTCTCACCATCCTGCTTGGTCTCTTGTTTTCTGAGTGACTGCCAGACCCATACAACAGTGTTCAGGTCTGGTAAAATCTAAAATGGAAAATAAAGAAACAAAAATATCAGTCACATTAAACAATCAAGGGAAGCTAATGAACTGAACACATGCTAATAAGAAGCAACAAACAGGGTGGAGGCACAACTCTCTGAGTGTGCAAGAGAGAGAGGGTGTGTGTGTGAGAAAGAGACAGAGAGCGAGTGAGAGAAAGCTTGTTTGAGTGTATAAAAGTCTTCGAGAGGAAGTCTAGGGAGATTTGTTTATCTGTGAATGAGTGGGGGGGGGGGGAGGGAACAGTGAGAAAGAGATGGGAGGGGACAGGAGGGGAGAACAAATCCACACCATTTGTAGGCTGTTTTGCTGTATAATTTCTAGTACTGTGCACAATATGAATTTGGTGAAAAAAATAAAAGCTGAAATTTAAAACAAACCTCTTAAGACTTGTTTAGCTGAGCAAAGATACTGGGGACAAAGAAACACTTCCCTATGCTCTGCTAAGGAACAGGTGGTTTAAGTACTTGGCTGCTGACTGAAAGGCTGGTAATTCAAACCCCCCAGCCACTCTGCAGGAGGATAATGGCAGTCTGCTTCCATAAAGAGTGTTGTTGTTGTTAAGTGCCGTCTAGTCGGTTCCGACCCACAGCGACCCTGAACAGGGTTTCCAAGGCTGTAAATCTTTATGGAAGCAGAAAGCCTCATCTTTATCCCACAGAGTGTCTGGTAGTTTCGAACTGCTGACCTTAAGTTTCGCAGCCCGATTCGTAACCACTATGCTACCAGAGCTCCTTCTATGAAGATTAGAGTCTCAGAAATCCTAGATAGAGATCTACTTTGTCTTATATAGGGTCATTAAGAGTCCAAATCAACTCAACAGCACACAGCATGACACGCAGAGAGGAAACTTCTGGGAGCATCCACACAGTTTCAACAGGCTAGCCTTTTTCCTTCTTGTCCTAAAATGCACCTTCTATGGGGGTAATAGGGTGAAGAGGATGAGGTTGGGAGAAGGGACACACACCAACAGCACCTGAGACAGGAGGTACCAGGAGCACCAAAGCCCTTATACTGTTCCTTTGAGAGAACAAATCTATCTTGCACCTTATTTTGCTGCGGGGCTTTTGGATGCTGTTTTAAGTGTCACATCACTGTCTATAATCCTAAATTGTAAGTCTTATTAGCTGTTCTATATCACCCATGCAACAACAATACTCACCACTCTCTCCAATTCTGAGGCTTCAGGGACACTTCAGTTATCACTCGCCCTCTGTGCTGCCAAGATGGTTCTCATTTGTGAGACCAGAAGGCAGGCCCCGGAAACGCCTCTGGAGAGGCACATCTCCCAGTTTCCATGCCTACCTTGCTCAGGGCTTCTCTGAAGAGCCGCACGAATTCCTCCATCATCACAGATGTGTACACACCTGATTCCTGCCATGTCTCTTTATTGAGGCAGTAGTCAATATTCTTTAATGCTCTCTTCAAAATGACAGAAATAAGGGATAAAGCTGTGTGTTTGACTGATTTGCTGTCCAACTGGAAAGAAACAGAGTTAAGTCCATAAATGCCTTTAGGTACACAGGTAGGCACCATCCCTGGGTGCAGTTTCACTTTTAGGGAAACCACATGAGACCACTGGTCTGTACCCTCAGGTGAGAAGAGGCCACCTAAGGGCCTTGTCCTCCAGGGTTGACTTCAGCCACTGCTGGGCAAGTGACCATTAGCATCTGGTTCTGTTTTTGTCTTTGTCTTGTGTCTGTGTTGAGAAAAGCCTCTGACAACCACTCAGCTAGTATGGATAATCTGTACCAACAACAGAAGACCTCACCAGAACCTAACCAGTCTCCACTAAAAACACTTGATTTTCCAGTGATACAATGACAAGAGAATGCAGTAAGTGCTTCAGCAGTCAAATCATGCTTAGTGGACACGCAACCTCAAATCCCAGTGTTCCCTCCTTACATTCAGAATGACAACCAGCAGGGTTTTCAGAGTTCTCTCTCACTAAAGGGAAACTGAGTTAAGGAGGAAAACAGTCAAGAGCCTTGGCCTTCACTCCAAGGCATTTACCCAGGAGAGTGGACATAGTTATTTACGAAGCTCTTTCAAACTGGTGAAGTCTCTGTCCCAGGAAACTCAGAGGCTCCCTGATAAGAAACAATGAACTACACCAGATTAGTATTCTCAGAGGAACCATACAGCACAGCCAGCAGGTTTAGAGAACTCTAGAAGCGGGTAAGCTCGTGACCTTACGTTTAATGCCTGGGTGAACATGATCTTATTGCAGACCAGGGGCACAGTGGTCACCATCACCATCGGGAGGAGCCGAGGCAAGGGGATAAACTCTCTGGTCTGAAACGCCCGGGAAATCTCTGGCTGGGCCTCATAGATCTATGAAAAGAAAAGGTTATTAGCTGGATACGTTTCAAACCTGGGGTCAATTTTAGGCGCTTAACAGAAAGTCAATAAAACATCTATAGTGATAAAAGTCTAGAGATTGCTATACGAAGAGTGCACAAAGTTAACCACAAAATTCACTTGTTAAAGTCAAGCCAGGTCATGAGACTGGCTGCTACCTGGGAGTGGCAAACATGTTACTAATGACAGGAACACCTCTCAGGTACCACACCTGACAAATGCGGTCATCTTTTTAAAGCTTCATCAACAACCCTTAGGGGCATTACATTAATAATTAACATTGTTAATGCAATTAATTGTAATACAGTACATGAATAATTTTAAATGTTTACAGGAGACAAAACTACACCCTATAGGTTACATAAATTCCCTGGAGCTACGCAGCTAGTAGCCAAACAAGAAATCAAACTGAGACCTATGCATTTGGGAGAGTCTAGTAAGGGTGCAAACCACAGGCTACCGTCAGCAAAATGAGGGGCAAAGTGTATCCTTCGCACCCCAAGATACCTGTGTGGATAGCACACAGTAGGCTCTTAAGAAAACGTTAGTGAACACATGAGTAAAAGCTTGCTTTACAGAGAACTCCAGCTCGAGATATAAGAAACAACCCCAGGTTGTTCATGACTTAAAAACCCACTGCTGACAGTTGAATTCCAACTCGCAGTGCCCATACAGGGCAGAACAGAACTCACCCCTAGGGTTTCCAAGGCTGTAAATCTTTAAGGAAACAGACTGCCTCATCTATCTCCTGCTGAGCAACTGGTGGTGGCAGTGGTTATGTGCCGTGGAGCTGACTGGTGGCTTCAAATCACCAAGCTTTCCTTTAGCAGTTGAGTGCTTAAACACTGCACCAGCAGGGCTCCTCATTTCACCACTAACCCACTGCCACAGAGTAAGTTCTGACTCACAGTGACGCTACATACTGTTTCGGAGACTATCAATCTTATGGGACCAGACAGCCTCACCATCCTCCTGCAGAGAAGCTGGTGGGTTTGAATGGCTAACCTGGCAGTTAGCAGCCCATTGTTGTAGTTATGCGCTGTTGAGTCGGTTCTGACTTATAGTGACCCTGTGTAGGATTTCCAAGGAGCAGCTAGCGCTGCTGCTTGCGGTTTGAAACGCTGACCTTGCGGTTCCAACTGACATTATAGTCCAGTGCATACCCTACAGTGAGACACCAGGACTTCAGCAGCCCGTTAGGCTTTCATGAGTTGGGGAACGAGAAAGCTTAACATAAGTATTTCCTATGGTAGATGAGGAAGGAGCTCTGGTAGTGTCATGGGGTAGGAGTTGCCAACTGCAAGGTCAGCAGTTTGAATCTACCAGCCACTCTATGGGAGAAAGATGAGTCCTTCTATCCCCATACAGATGTACAGCCTCAGAAATCCTGTACAGGATCACTATGAGCCAGAACCACCACCACGGTACATGAGATGCTTATGTCCATAATCAGAAGAAAATGAATGCACATCCACTTAAACCCACTTAGGACTGGTGTTCACAGATGATTTCAGGTTATACTAAGTACTGGAAATAGCATCTTTAAAAACTACCCCACAATTGAGACATTTCACTAGTTATGGCCTGAGTGAGCTAAGATTTCAGTTTGCACTCTCGGAAAAATCAGTCTGTATGGTGAAGATAAAGCCGATTTAACAGATTCAAAAGGCATAAGCCTTCAAATTCAGTTTCACGAACAGTAAAATATTATACTTACGGGAAAAGGACATCAAATTTACTCAAAATAGCCATTCAAAACATGATTACTGCCAGAAGTGACCATTTTGTATAGTTTAAACCCAAAATACCAAACCACTGCCACTGAGTCAATTCCAACTCATAGCAACACTCCAAGGGAGAGTACAAACCTAGGGTTTCCAAGGCTGTAAATCTTTGTGGGAAGCAGATAGCCTCAGCTTTCTCCCACAGAGCGGCTGGTAGGTTTGCACTGCTGACCCAGTCGAAACTGTAACCCGCTACCAGGGCTCCTTCTGTAGGTTTGACAGACCATCAAAACATCACTTCATCTCTCTCCCCCAGCCCTTTACTCTCTACTCCCTACCCTTTCTCACAGATTAAATATCCATGTTGTTTACCTTGTTAAGTAGTTTAATATTATTGGACCAAGCCGACTTCACTCTTGGGAGGAAGGAAAATGTCACTTCCTTGAAATATTTGTTGAGTAAGTCGGGACATACTTTAAGGATGTTCACCACAAGTTCAGCTACCAGTTCATCGTCTGCTGCAGTTTTCAGACCCAACAAGAAGTGCAGGAGAGTAAGGTTTCCTCCTCTGTTAGAGAAGGAGAAGAGAATAGAAGTAATACTTGGTATCATTGTAAAAACATAAAACATGTACCCTTGGGTCAGCAAGGAATTGAAGCACTCACACTGATCACATCTGCAGTTCCCCTTACTCACCCTCAGTGACATGGCCACGGGGCACATAATCTGATTCTATTGGACTTCCCCACCCATTGGTTTATATCCATGGCTGTTTTTGTACTAAAGCACCATGGTTTAATCACTATTGACTAAATATTTACTACCTGGCCCTTGGCAGGAAACATTTACCAATCCCTGCTCTATACTATACAAAAAGGCCCTGGTGGTACGTGGTTAATTACTTGGTTGCTAACCCATAAGGTCAGTGGTTCAAATACATCAACCAGTTGTTCTACAGGAGGAAGATGTGGTAATATTTATTCATACAGTCCACAAACTCAATCCTATAGGTTGCTGCAAGTCAGAAACAACTTGACAGCAACAAGTTTGGTTTGGGACTCTATACTATAGTCCTAGCCATTAAGAGGACAACAGTAAACAAAACAGACTAGCCTCTATCCCGATGATTTAAGGGATAATGATAATATGCGTGGCACTGTGGGTTAATGTGCCCAGACGGTAAAGCCATTTGAATTGCAAGATTGGCAGTTCAAGCTCACCAACTACTCCACGGAAACCCCATATAGGGTCACTATGGGTCAGAACCGACACAACAGCACTGTCACATCAATTATGACTCATAGCAACCCTGTAATGGATTTCACACACACAGACAGAGACAAAGACAAAAAGTAATGATGAGTCATAAGAAGTAGCCTAAACCAAGCAAAATGAGTGACAATGGTGAGGCTAATCTAGACCGAGCTGCCAGGCAAGATTCCCCTGAATGACACAAAGGAGCAGTTTTTAGGACCATGCATCTTCATTGACTTTCCTTTAACTGGCCCCCACCCCAAATTCCTTTCCTCTCCTGCAAGTACAAACATCTGTGTTCTGCCCGTGGCTTCCAAAAATTGTATTAACCACAGTTTATTCCAAATCGACCCACACCCATAGGTTGATTCAATATGCTCACTAAAGATCGTCTATTCCAGGCGTCTGCTTATGGAGGGGAGTCTTGGTGTGGCGCTTTAGGATAAGCATTGGACTGTTAACTACAAGGTCGGTGGTTCAAAACCACCAGCCACTCCCTGAAAACCCTATACAGGGTCACTGGTTAGAACCGACTTAACGGCACTCAACAACAACATATGGAGAAAAATGCTTAAAAAAAATCTTGGGGTTTAGGGAAAGCACAATGTGTGAGTTTTAAACATGGTGCTAGATTACATTAGACTATAAAAGCCTGCTGTCATACTTTACCAGAAAAAATAAGCTCATTTTCACTGATAAGAGATACTACACTATCACCCAAACAAAGGAAAAAAGAAAGAAGACAGGAGATGGCAAGTTAAGTCATAATAAACTCAGAATCCAAAGAAGTTCAAAATCACAGCACGAGAAACATTTCCACTGTGTTATCTTATTCTGAAGAAGTCATTTCTTAACTGGCTGAAATGAAAAGAAAATCTGCTACCTATAGCCTTAAAGTGAAATGTTATACAGTCAGGAAGTTAACAAATAAGATAGAGCCATTCAAGCAGGTTGATCTTAAAGTAGTCCATTTTGATTGTTAAAAAGACTCACACGGGAATATATTATAAGACTAAGAGTCTAAAAGAATACAATCCAAGCTGTACTTCCCATGTTTCCTAACTGATGAAATGTTATTAGAATTGTGAAACATGAAATAAAATGTAAAACTAAGATTTTGAAATCCTAACAGGTTGACAGCCTATCTTTGAAATGGAGAAGACCATCAGGGGCTTCAAAAAGCTTGTGGAACAATGCAATTAAAAATAACGGAATTTGTCCACAAACTTTTTGAAGACCCCTCGTCTTTTGGTTAGCAACATGGGCTTTGGAAGCAGATTTCCTGAGCTCAAACCTGAGTTTTGCCACTCACCACAGAACATTCTATACTGCTCTGGACCCCTTCCCTCATCTGCAGAACTGAGATAACAGCAGGAGGCCACCTTGGGAATGCTGGGAGGTCATTAAGACTCACTCTCAGATCCAATGACAGGGCTGTCTATCTGTGAGCAAGCACACAGGCAGCGCCTCCTAAGGGAGAAATCTTTTCCAAGTGTCTACGGAAATTACTGCCTAAGAGCATGAGTCCTGAAGGCATGTAACAACTAGAAGCTCTCTGGGCCTCTATTTCTCACTCCTCAAATGCATTAAGTAATGTCTAAAATTCTAGTTCTAATCTACTACAAGCCATTCTTTAACAGGATTTCTTATAGAATGTTCTGAGGAACTCACACCCCAGGGTTCAAAAGAATGGTATGTTACCTTCCAAAGGTACCGAAAGAGGCGTCATAAAAATTAATCCCATGCTTGAGTGAACAGCAAAGATCCATCAGGAAGGTATGAACCAGCTCCCTTACCATGGTTTTCCCGACTTCATCAGCAGAAGCCTGTGAGGGTTAGAAAAATTCAATCAAAATCCCAAACTCATAAACCTTATTAATAGCTACAGTGTAAAAACTGGATAATATCACATACCTATCGACAAGTAAGACAACATTTTATATTAACATCTGCATCATTCCAAAACATACACAACTGCAAACAAAAACCAAAAACACCCATTAAGATAAAAGAAGACCCTTAAGAGGGGCAAGTTTAAACCATTCATAAACTTCAGAATGACTTAATTTCTCTTGCTCATTTTAATAAAATTGCACATTTGGGAGAACTTTTATTATGCCCCTGAGGCTTCCGAGTAATAAAGCAGCCAAAAACATGTTCAAAACCAGAGGACACAGGCAAGTCAAGAAGATAAAAGGAAGCAAAAAAAAACACAAGCCTTTAAAGGGTAAATTATTATAAAGTTAGCAAGAAATCTGAGGCTTTACTACCATTGCCAAGTCCAAGTTCAAAAGCACCTTAAGGAAAATAAAAATGAGTTAAATTCAAATGCACATTGGTCTTGGGTCTATGTGAAAGAGCTTCAATTCACTGGAGTAACTGCCACAAAATAAACTGTACATGTCAGTCACAGAGCAAACATGAGGTTCCCTATGCACATAGGATTCTAAAGTGAAAGAAACCATCTTTGAAACTCTAGAAGGAAAACAACAAACCCATTGCTGTGAAGTTGATTCTACCCCAGGGTGACCCCTTGTGTTACAGAACAGAACTGAGCATCAGAGCAGTTTATTGATGGAAACCTTTATGTCAAGACAGAAGGAAGAGAAGGGGCAAGATAATAAAGAGAGTCTGGTTACTCTAGAAATCTACTGAGCAAACACTGCAGGGAAAATGAAGATGGCACTCAGCCAAAGGGAATAGTAACCGTCTTGTCTCAATGGGAGAAAAAAAAAAAAAAAACAACTCAAATTTAAAAAACTGTATTGCCTCTGCTACAGTTCTGATGTGGCATTGTATGATAAGCACTGGAATGCTAACCACAAGGTCTGTGGTTCAAATTCACCAGCCACTCCTCGGAGACCCTATGTTGTTGTTGTTAAGTGCCTAAACAGGGTTACTGTAAGTCAAAATTGACTCTTAACAATAATTGCTTCTGTTGCTGCTGCTGTTGTATGTCATCCAGTTGTTTCCAATTCATGGCGACCCTGTAAAGGGTTTCTAAGGCTGTAAATCTTTACAGGAGCAGAAAGTACTGTCTCTGCACCCACAAGCCAAAAGACAGATATCAAATGGGAGGACTTTTCAGATAGGTGTTGCATTAAGATTCTTCCTCCAACTGGGTGATCATACCAGGCACAGCGAGGTCATCTGAAAACAGGGACTATACCTTGGGGTCGTCCATGTCCACGTCCATTATCCCCCTCCAGGAATACAGTGAAGCTATTTGGTTCAGTAACTGCCCAGTGAAGAAACGCACCTTCTGTGTTTTTGTGATATTTTTATTGTGAACCACCTGAAAACAATAAAACGAATGCAGTTCAAGGGCTTTAAGTAGTTTTTCTGTAGCATTTACTGTTTTTCCTGACAATAAAAGTAATGACTAAAAATGTCAGAAAAACAACACTCATCGATCTTCGCAGCATACTACGTTGGGAGGCCACAGACCTCCTCTAATCGGTACTTTACTAAGAAAGACAATGATCCTTTCAGTAAGTTTTTTAAACTCTATGAAATGCTTATAAAAGGTAACATATGCAACATGACACATAACATGGTGTTAGATGTATAAAATAATTATTTGTAACTGATAGCTGTACTGGCTTTCTGTGAGATAACGGCCAACAGTTAGGTTCCTGGTCATTAACACAGCAGTCTTGGCTGACCATGAGCGACTTCTTCCAGCAATTCTTAACCTTCTAGCCCCAGAATCTGCTCACCATCACAAGCAAGTTTCTGAGTAAGAAACAGTTTACTAGTCAACCTGGAGACTGTAAGCCTATGTGTGGAATGTAGAGAATATATTAGCCTAAGACATTACAGTTTCACAGGCCTGGAAAACACGTGTCATTCCCATAGAGAGCAATAAAGATGGAAAACGATGATTACTAAACATGTACCTTGGTTTTCAGTGTGGATAACAGCAGACTGATGGTAGAAATCCTATCTTCCTTTATTATGCCTGAACTAAAAATGCAGGGAATGAATTCTGAAAGTAAAAGTTTCAAAATATTACACTCAAGGAAAACAACTTTGAGAATGTTACTGTTTAAATGGTTCAATCAATGATGGCATTTATGTTTTAAAGTTATACAAGGTCACACTTCTTTTATAACAGGTCAATGGCACCTAGAGCTGAAACGATGACAACACTTTTAAAATTCAATAGTCCCTTTAGTTTTTTTTCAAGTATCACAATGTTTATTGATAGATACAAGTATATAAAATCAAGGCATGAACATGACTTGATAAATTAAGTAGACTTAATTTCAATACTATAATAAGGACCAATGAAAATTCTCACCATTTGTCTCACACACACAAAAATCACGTCAAGGGCATTAACAATCTCTCAGAACTGATCAGTTTTGTGCAAGTAAACCATGTTTCTTTCAAAAAGACTTGTGCACTTGCCCAGGCTCAAGGATATTAAAATAGCACATAAAGCCCACTACTAGAGGTAGAAATATAGGCAATATACTGTTACGGCAACAACCATCAATTACATTTAAGAATTTTTCTGTAACAACCAAATGGATAATCAAATGTTGCAACAACTCAAGTATTACTGAGCAAAGTGCATTTCTACAGTACTCAGTGTTGCTGTTCAGTTTTCTAACGTAAAACAGCCTATGATAACTGGCAGCAAAGAAGGTCCTTGCAATAGACTACTCTGCTTGAGAACTTATGATGTAATTATTGCATGCTGCTAATATACTATCTAAACACTAAAGAGACTCCTAAAATATTTGGTGGTAGACTATGATTAAGACATTACACTACAAAAAAACCTTACGCAGAAGGAAACCCTTCTGCTTTAAATATTGTGAAAACGTTATAGCGGAATGAATTTTCGCAGTGGTTAGATCAAATGCAGTTACATCATAGAAACAGTATGTTTTACACAATTTAAGGCTTTGGCTGGTTCTTTAGTCAGCTTCTTCCTCCGATTCTTCTTCTTCAGCAGTTTCTAGCCAGGTTAGCCATTGATTCACCTGGAACAAAGCCTTGCCTTTCCCTGGAAACTCTTGGGTTATATCTCCTTTCCAAGCCAAGAAAGCTTCTTCTTCAATAATTTCCGTATCATAAAAGTGAACAAAAAAGCAAAGTAACTTGCCTTCTGGGAAGCTGCTGTTGTAGCAGGGCACCTGAAGAGCAAACAGAGCACTGACTTGTACATCATGAAGGAATTTCTGCATTACTGGCTTGAGGAAAGAAGCAGCTGTTTTTCCTGCTCTAATTGTTCTTTGGAAGGAGCAGAGGAAGAATCTGTTTCATCACTGGGTGGGTTTACTTCACTAGAAATATACTATAAGAAGCTAGTCATTAAGATGTTCACAAATCCTTTGTATACATGAAGTTTGAGAGAGATGTTATCTTTAATCCACTTGTATATGGTTTGTGGGGATGGATCCAACTTTATTTGCTTTAGCAGTTCCTTCTCTAGTTTGAGTAGTGGGAATAAGAAACTCAGTCCCTTTCCTTCCAAGATCTCCAACATTCCATCTTTATTTTGATCAATTTCTGGAAGCATTTTCTGCATATTGACCTTGCTTTGTTGAAACAGTTCTGTTAACCATTCTTGATCTTGTAATTTAGCTAACTGCTAAAGGCAAAGTAAGAAGAGGGGAAAATGGGTGCCACTTTCCAGTGGTTGAGCTAATTCAGAAATGCTCACCAGCTCTGAAATGATGGCACGAGCTGCAAACTGTGCTAAATAAGATTTCACCAAGGGGATGTCAAGCTCCAGTTTGAGGCACTGGTCCAATACATTCAGGAAAGCCTGCATGAAGTTGTCGCTTGTGGCTACCCCTTCCTGTTTGAGTAAACTGAGAAAAGAGCTTGCTTTGTCTTCATCATTTCTATCTAGTGAGAGGATGATTACTTTGCTTAACATCTCAGGAAGAAAATGTTTAGGGGTCCTCATTTCTCTTACACCACTGACAGCCTCATTTGCGTTCCCACTATTCAGATATTCAGTCACAACAGTTTCAGCTAACTTTAGTTCTTCTTTTGATGGTGGTGGCTTTTTGCTGGTCTTGGCAGGTTTTTCCTGGATAAATGGTGGATTAGTTTTGAGACCAAGCTGAGGTGTCTGTCCCAGAGGTGGTGTCTGAGTGCGTGGTGGCTGCGCACTAGGAGGAATCATAGTTATCTGGCAATTGGTTTTTATTCATTAGGAATGATTGAGCAGGGTGCAGGCTAATCTCATCTGCATTAAGCTGCCCTTTCTTAAAAAACCGAGGTGACATATCCTTCGACTGCCCTTGCAGCTGGGATAAGAGTCCCTGACTCTGGTTATGATAGAGCTGGCTTAGCCCCTGACTTTCAATAGTCCCTTTAGTTTTGCTTTATTTTTTAATAATAAAGCAAAATTAACACTTATCATTTAAAAGAGTATTATGTTACCTACACCTATGGAAGCAGTAGCTCAAAAAAGGGAACAAATCCTTACAGCAAGAATCATTCCCACC